CCCTATTCAGAAATTCTGAAAAATCGTGCCTGTCATTAAGTTTACTCATATGGATGAGTATCTGATACACATCTGATATCTGTAAAAGGACATGAAAAATCACAGAATAAGTGAAATATTATTTCATGTTCCATTACAAAACACTATCATGACTTGGTTCTGTGTAGGCTGCCAAATTACCAACATTACTGTTTTTTTCCTAGAACCAATCAAAAATAAATTCCTGTATCACTAATGGGACCATGTACCTCTGAATACCCATGTCACTTAAGAATAATTCCCAAAGATATGTTGTACCCCAAATTATGTAGTGGAAGACAAAATGGAGGTGGGATATTCCAAAGGTTTTTATAATAAGACCATGAGAGACAATTTGAGAAATCTGAAAGACTTTACAGCTCTTGAATATCCTTCCTCTCAGATGAAATTAAGAATTCAACTAATATATATTCTTTTACAGAAAGTTACTGACATAGTTTAAGGAGAATTACAGAACAAAACAAAAAGGTGTTAGTACTGGAATACTGGATATTACCAAACAAATCAGAACTATCAGATTTAGGGCGCTGACATACACTCGGATTAAAAAACACAGTCCTGTTACTATCTAGTAATTTGGTTATTATCTAGTAATTTTAAAAGTCTGTCATTTAATTACCTTTTTAAAATTTAAAAAACAAAAAAAGCCTGGAAATACCAAATAAAAATAAGCCATACACGATAACTTTCTCTGGAAATGTACTGAGGGAATAAAATCAGGAATGCTTCATTCTTTCAATAACAAAGCCAATCTTTTAAAAATTACGCATAAAGGTGGTCTTCCCTGGTAGCTCAGACAATAAAGAATTTGCCTGCAATGAAGGAGACCCGGGTTCAATCCCTGGGTTGGGAAGATTCCACTAGAGGCAGAAATGGCAAACCACTCCAGTATTCTTGCCTGGAAAATCCCATGGGCAAAAAAAGAAAGGAAAAAAAAAAAAAAATCCCATGGGCAGAGGAGCCTGGCAGGCTACAGTCCACAGGGTTGCAGTCAGACACAAGTGGAGCGACTTAGCATACACGCACACAAACACACACACGCACACACACACACATACACACACACAAAGGTATGTGATATTTAAAATCCTCAGTTTGGTTTTGCAATTTTTTGTACTTTTATTTGACCATGTTCTGAAAACTCTTTTCAAACAAACTAGTGAGAATATATTTGAAAAGTCTTAATAGGAATGGGCTCAAATGCCATCTAGGCTCCCTACACTGTCCCGTTGCTTGGAATACATTCCTGGACTCATCCCTGCTAAAGGTGCATGGAAAGTAACTATCTGTGCCAGTCTTTCTGCTAGATTTTTCATGATCATGTAACATATAGAGGGGTAGAAATTAAGTGCTTTATTTTTGTTAAAAACTTCTCCTGCAGGATCTGAAGGCAACAATTAGATACTTTAAAGTTAACTTACACCCCTTCCCACGCAGTGCAGTGGTAAAGAACCCATCTGCAATGCAGGAGATGTGGGTTGGATACCTGGGTTGTGAAGATCCCCTGGAGGAGGAAATGGCAACCCCTTCTAGTATTCTTGCCTGGAGAATTCCATGGACAGAGGATCCTGGCAGGGGACAGTCCATAGGGTCGCAAAGAGTTGGACACATGAGCACACATGCAAAGTACAGAAAAGTTGACTATTTTGCTTCATGTGACATTCAATAACCAAGAGTTTAGTGAAGGATGGAAAGTGATGGGTAATAAAACGGCAAAAGAAATTGTTACCGACTGAACAGCTAGCTTATTAAGCTGTTCTCTGAGAAATCTCAGAGAGTAACATACTCTGTAGTTTAAATTTAAAATATCCAATAACTACAAAGAGGTGGACTTATTTTGCAATATAGAGAAACAATGAAAATTTTAAAGGAAATATGAATTAGTCAGAAAAGGCAAAGCAAACAAAGAAAAAAAGCCAAACTACAACTTCATGTAAGAACCAACACAAAACAAAACAGAGTTAGTTAAGGTTGGGAGAAGGGGATCCAGGATAATTCAAAATTGAATACATGGTTAAACAAAGCTTTAGGCAATAATAAACAGTTCATACAACAGCTACGCTATATAGAAATACAATTGTTACTTGGGTGCCAGGCCGTGCTTAGTTGCTCAGTTCTGTCCAACTCTTGCGACCCCTTGGACTATAGCCCACCAGGCTCCTCTGTCCATGGGGGTTCTCCAGGCAAGAATACTGGAGTGGGTTGCCATGCCCTCCTCCAGGGGATCTTCCCAACCCAGGGATCGAACCCAGGTCTCCCACACTGCAGGTGGATTCTTTACCATCTGAGCCACCAGGGAAGTCCATGAATACTGGAACGGGTAGTCTATCCCTTCCCCAGGGGATCTTCCCAACCCAGGGATTGAACCAGTGTCTCCTGCATTGCAGGTGGATTCTTTACCAGCTAAGCTACCAGGGAAGCCAAGTTATTTGGGTACTAGGCACCAAAGGAACCCCTCTTGAAAATTAGGGTCTCTTTGCATTCTTAAATGGTCTCAAGACAGACGTGAAAAGGGACAATGTCAGTGACCCAAAATAAAAGGCAAAGTGAACAAAATCAAGCTTGCAGAACTTCGATAAACTTCCACCAAAACGGAAATTTGGTTGATGGAAAATAAACTGTTTCAAATATATATATATATATATAAAACAGAAGGATGAAAGGAAGACCACTCGCTCTGTGAGAAAAAGAACAATTAATTAAAGAGAAGATGAGTAGGATCTGAAATGATAGTTTACCAACGAATCGAATACTAAAAGTAAAAGAGTAAATACTAAGTTGGTTATAGTAGGTGCAAGGATAGGTCAAGCAAAGACCTGCGGATCAGGGACTAGTTCAAATACAACTCCAGAAGTGGAGTCACTTCTAAGGCTGAGGGTGGAGGGTTCAGAACAATATTGTCTTGTTTATCCTTCAGTTATTAGGTTAAACGTAAGCTCAGAGATAGCTTAACCCTTGCAGGACTGTAGACAAACAGTATCTTCAAAGCATTTAGCATTCATCTGAACGAATATCAAATCTCATTCTTTCAAAAACAAGTACAGAGCTTGAAACCCACAAATTACTAAAGTGTTAGTTTTGCCCAGAAAAACCTCACCCTTTTCAAAGGAGACATGTACACTGGTTTCTTTTAAAGATCAATTCCCTTCTCCATCCTACCTTACCTACCAGAAACTTGACCCTTCTAATAATAAGTGGTAAATTTTTCCTGTTACAACCAAAACTCTGCAGTGGTGGTGATCACAATACCAAGATTCTTTCACCCCATCACCCAGCGGGTGCTGCAGAGAAGACTGTCCCAGGAAATACAAGATCTGTGTTTCCTGGTGATTCACAACCAGCTCAGCAGATTTCTATTTCTATCATTTCTATCCATGTCTAAATGGATTTTGTCAATTTGGGAACGGACATACTCAAAAGGCCAGAGGCACAGGATAGATCAAACATGAGGAGAGCAAGAACTATGTGTCACTAACCATGCACTGTTTCATCAAATCACTTATCCTAATCCATCATTCCTTTGCTACTGCAGTTTGAAACCTTCCCCGAAGCCTGTCTTTACACACACGTACGTTCTCTTTGGCCAACGTCCTTCATTTTGCCTTGCAGACCCACTGGCATACCACTCTTACTACCTGTCTCTTTAAATGAAAAAGGTTGTTTTCCTTATCATAACTCTTCTTTTCCTTTAAGGGGTGGGATAATCCAAAATATTTGCAATGAGAAACTTCCCATGTTCTCGCCCTAAGAGGTGGACCACAGTTTGTTCTGAAACCTATTTATTGATCAATACAAAAGAAATTACTAAGCAGAAGACATATCTAATGGACTAACAAGAGAATATTATTCAAATCACAAACTCACCTTCAAGAACCTAAAGTGCCCCACAGTGGATAGGACCTCACCTGATGCTAAGGATAACAGGCAGAGAATCTCCGGCTGAACTGATAGGTTCAGAACAACATGAAGAGTAAACAAGCTGTGGATGCTAGGGCGATGGTAGGATGCAGTAGACAGAAAACGCAGCTCCTCTGGTGTTTGGGGCATTCCACTATGTCTATTCTTTAAAAGAAAAAGACATCAAGTTCTAAGTCTTCCACTTCTGGCTCACGGTTCTCAGTCACTGAAGAGATTGGTCCACCAAACATCTATATACCACTATTCACTTCTTCCTTGAAGACCTTAATCATTTAGGACTGCCCCTTAAAAGGTAGGAGCTGCTGCATTTGCACAGCTGCCGCAAAGGCAGGCAAATTTCCTGCGACACTGGAGACAGGTAAATAAAGAAACTGCTTTCGCTCCGAGGAAGGGGGAGGGGTCTTCTGCCACTGAAGAGTTTACATAATGCAACAGAAAACCAGTGAGCTCTGCGGACCTGTCAATGGAGATGCAAAGCTTGAGCTCCTCTCTTCCCATCACCTCTAAACACTGTCCAAAAGCATGCTCCGCTCTCCCAAAGATCCACAGAAATTACACCTAATAATGTAAAACAATCGCACATGCTCACCTCATGCTCTCCTAACCACCTTTATTGCTAAAAAAAAAAAAACCCCAAAACCTCAAACTCCCACTTCTGAGTCCAAAGTGTGGAGTAACCAAACGGAGCCGGGGAGTCTTCCCTCTGAAGGGGCAAAGAGAAAACGGATCTGCCTCAAATCTACACGATCCCAGTAATGCAATGGCAAGGCCTAAAAACTTCACAGGGGCCGGGGCAGCCGCGTTCGCGGATCAGCCCGGTTCGGGCCCCGCGGGCCGGCAGCCGCCCTCTCCCCCGGCCTCTCACAAAGGAGAATGGTTCAGTCCGGAGCATCACCCAGCACCTGATCCCGCACAACTGAGGGAAGGACAGAGGGCGGGGGAGCGAGGAGGAGGATGAGTTATGAAAACCAATCTAAGAGCCTCAGCTTTTGCAAAGACTCTTGGACCAGCACTGAGCGGCGGGCGTGTGCTTAAAAGCCTACCTGAACAAGTCCCGGCGCTTCCTTTCCAGCCAGCGTTTCAACTCACCCTTTCGGAGAACAAGGCGCCTTCCGGCGGAGCATGGCCAGCCCTCGCCTCAATCTAGCTTGCTAGTAGTCCATGCTCCCTTGCTCCGCCCACCTACGCTCCCACACGCCAATGGCAGGGCCGACGCCCCGCCTCTTCCAGCAGGGTAATATGAGCTCCATCCAGGAAGTCTCTTGAGGATGGGAGGTCCTAAAAGGCCGAGGCAACCACACATATGCCTGATTGAAAATAAAATCTGGCGGTACCTTGTCTCTGACCGCTCTCCGTTCACTGGCTTTCGGATCTCTCCGAATGTTTCTTTTCTTGACCCCCGCCATTGGGGGCGCTCTAAACTAAAACATTTAGTTACCTGTTTCTGGGAAGCCATCTTGGATCGGGCTGGTGCCTTTAGGGCCGGGAGGAGGAAGGAATGCTTAAAGAATCTAAAGCCCTTTACGGCGTCCTGTCCGACTGCTTAGGTTCAGCCCAAACGTACTCTCCTTTACGTAATCAGAATACCCCTCAGTCACGATGGGGAGGAAACCTGGAATAATGCTGAGTGTGCCTAGTGGCAACCCCCACCCTCTCTCATACGAGTGAAGCGATCTTAACCAAATCAAAGAAGCAAAAATTAATTCTTGAAGTGAGTGGATTTTCTAAGTTCCCGGGATAATTCTTTAGAGATTTCTCAATCCTCAGGATATCAGCATAACATCAGCATAGGTTATGCATCTATTCTAGATGCTTCTAATCCTTATGTCTCGCTCGCAAGTTTTCCGGTGTTCTGACTGACAGTACAGAGTACTGCTAGTCAGTTGGAAACGAACAGAATTAAGGAAAGAATTTCAACTTAAAAAAAAAAAGGTCTAAATTCATCAATAGACCCAAACTACTTGTGAATATGGATAGAGCAAACGATGTAAGTCTTAGAGGAGAAATTATATGCAAGGAGGGCATTAAGAGACTGCCTTAGAAATATTGACTGCAGAGTAATTTCCTAACGATAATGATTGAGTAAATTGTTATAGAAATAATTTTACAGTAGGTGAAATTCTCTTACCCTCAATGAGAAAGATTTACCCATGTTTTCTAGTTTACTGCTATTAAAACTTGCTACAGGAAGTTTTTAATTTTTTGGAAATCCTGAGTGAAGGGTGTCTTTCCCTATCATTAAAGGAATTTCTCAAGAAGTAACATTTGCATGGTCACACATAGTAGGAGCTCAGAGACCTTAAGGAGTCATGTGAGTCAACATTTTATCACAGAAGATTTGGCCAAGTACATTTCTCTGTATATTGAACAAAACCTGTTGGCCAAATTCTTCCTTGGCTACCACTGTCCTTATATCAAATTTGATATTAGTATTAGGGCTTACCAGAACAATGTGTAAATGCATGTACAGATATGACCTTCATTATAGTTTTTAGAATGAGAACCTATTATCCTTCTGCTTATTTGTTTCAAAATAAACCTGCTATCAAAGGAACCAGTTATTAAGAACAGACAGAAAGGGGAATGGGTATCCCTGCCATATGCAATGACCTATAAATAGTAATGACTTAGACTGCTATAAGTAGTATGATTTCCAAGGGTCCTGGGCTTCAAAAATCAACCAACACTCATTATCTTATAACCAGTATTCTTCACATGGGGGTGGGAGATGCATTTTCTGAAACTCTTCATGACCATTTCAGAAGATCAGCAGTGATCAACAAAGGTCATGAATTTGCCCAGATACTCTCATTTCTTATGCTTAAAACTGATGAAATACCTGAGTAAAGAAGGTTATGAGTGGTGTTTGGATAATATGGGATTATCAATTCAAGAGATACTCCATTTGTTTACCATGTTAAAAAAAAAAAAAAAGATACACTCCAAAAGCAGCAGCTCTAGACAGAATGCTATGTCTGATCAATGTTCTGATTCGTCCTGATCACTAAAGGTTTCTTTGACTGATAGAGGAAAACTCCTGTACAGAATCCATAAAGTTTTATTTACTTTAATTCTGTCTCTGGTATGAGCAGACCAGCCAAATTCAACAGCCTTAATCCTTTTCGAATGAGGTAGGAGTTTTTAAAAACCAAACCAAACCAAACCTTAATCAAAGCAGTACTCCATACGCCTTCCAACTTCCTGTGGTACAGTGTAACTAATACTACTGCTACTGGGGGCAGAATCCAGTATAAAATGAATGTATCTCAAGAAGGCTTCCTCCAATACCTTTGATACAATTCCCTAGAATAAGAGCATCTACTTATGTTTGGGGTACAATCAGAAATGACACATGAAATGTGAGCAGCTTGGATACATGCATATATTTAATAATGAAACAATTTATCGACAACCAAAAAAAAAAAAAAAAAGAAAAAAATTCACAAGACCGCAGTGCTGTGGAAGAAAATGAGACATCAGTATAGCAACTGACCCAGAAGGCTGCATGATAAGTACAGCAAAGACAGACTTGACTAGGATAGTATTGTATGCTCTTCAAATGGAGAAGTATCCACTTATTTGACTGCTTGGAAGCAGGCAGCTTTATTGTATGCTGCATGGAATAGAGGCAAAGAGCCAGGGAAAGGAGAGAGAGGAGAAGGAGAAGAGCAATAAAGAATTCAGGGTAAGCAGATGGAAGAGACTGAGATAGAATTACAAAGAGATGACTGTAAGGCTTTTTGTTTCCTCTGCAGCCTAAAATAAACCTGTTCCAAGTCTTTGTCAGTCAAATTTAGTGGTCACACGAGTAGCACTAGGCACTGTGAAGGAATGGTGGAGGAAGTGGTTTACAAAAATAAAAGGATACCAGGGGTTCCTGCTCTCAAGGAGCTTACAGCCTATATGGGGAGACAGGTTCCAAACACAAGGCTACTATAAAACATATTTACAAAGTAACATAAATACAAATAAATATACATATGAATAAACAATATATGAAAACTAAAAGGTACTGTGTCAATAATTGTTCAGAAGTCCCTAGGTCAGTCAAAGAAGGCTTTTCCAAAGGAAAAAAATGTGGACTTTGAGTATAACAGTAGTGTATCGTAGGGCATGTGCAAAGGCATAGGAGTGGAAGCAAATATGTCATGTACTGAAGGCAGATTAGCTTGACAGAAAGTCTAAATAGGTCTCCTTAAGAAGTGAGTGGAATAAAACAGTAGGAGTCTATTTGGTGAAAGACTGACTTAGCAATGTTAGGTCTGGTCCCTAAAACAAAACAAACAGGGAAAGATGCTTTCTCTAGGTAATGACAGTAAGTGGCTACAGGTCCAGGAACAACTCTACTACTCTCAGAAGTTTTGTAGTTACTCTGAAATAGAGAAACTAGAAATGGGATGGTGGAGAAGTGTTCATCATCCCTGAGCAGTTCAAGTAGAAGGAACTGCCTTCTGCAACAATTCTTATGTAGTGACAAGTGAAAAACCTCAGTGAAGTCCCTAGACTGAGGACCTAAAACCCAAAGGACAGCAGATCCCAGTCACCTCAAGGGCTCAAGCAGAACGTCCTAGACCTTTGTTACTAATTCTTGGTGGGGAGTAGATTGTGTCTGCTTATAAAAGAATTTATTTTTGAACTACCATGACAATCAGCTTTGATCCTAACATTTTACAAATTAAAACAGGATGAGAAGAGCCCTAATCTATAGGGAATGCTCACGTCCCTGAAGAAGGACAGGTCGGTAAGGGCCCAAATTCTCCCCTGATCTTTAAGTGGAAAGGCAAAACATCACACCTTGAAAAGAGGCTTTTCCCAGCCAAAGCATGTAAGACCTCTTTCTTTAAGCCTATTGATCTGAAGCTGTTCCAGGAAGGAAAAAAAAAGAGTCCAGGCCAGTTGTTTAGCAGCAGCCAGAGTCAGCCCCCATGTCATGAGAGCCCCGCTGGGAAGCACTGGATCCCACTGAGGTTGAAATACACTGCTGGGGTCCAATCTTGATGCCATTTGCCTGTGAGAGAAAAGAGGCAATAGTTCCCACCTCAGTGTGAAAGTAAGTGGGAGAAAGAGGGATAAAAGGAGAAATCATTAATTACAGTATCTAGAAGCAGGTATGGCCTTGGCAGGTAACCATGCGCCTTAGCCAGACTGCTGTGGAACAATAATCTGTGATGGTGAAGATAAGATGACCAGCTGTGGCATTATAGATCACTGGAAGTGGCCTCTGTGCCCATTTTAAAAGTGACTGTTACACTTAAGTTTCATAGCTATGTGCACAATCAGGATGTGATTAAGAGTAAGTAAAATAGAAGTGGCAGCATATAATTCATTTTTCCCCCCAAATGTGCTTTATAGAAATGACAAGCTAAACAATTAAGAATCACACCTCCCCCATGCTTTGGAATAGTAAAAACCTGAGGTTGAGAAGAAAACCTCCCATAATGTATAAACCTTTTAGATCGGCAATTAATAATCTCTTTAAGCAGTCTGGGTCTCAGACTTGAGAAAAAAACAGACAAGCTATGCCAGTTCATATAGCTTCATATAGTATCATGTTAGACAGGAAGTGCTTATATTCTAGGAAGCATCCTGTCCTGTTTAAAACAAAGCAAAATTAATTGTCAGCCCCTCACCCTATCTTACCTCATTGTGGACATCAAATAAACCCTGCTGGATCTTCCTATATATTTCTTTGGCTGTGTTAATGAAGGCCTGAAGGAGACATAAATCATAGTATTAGGCTCAAGTTTAGGTAGAGAAATTAGGAAAAGAGAATACAAATATTATTCCTATTTAGATTTCAAAGGTGAATTGGGAACCGTTAGGAGAATTGAGTAAAAATACAAAAGGTCCTCCAAAGGCCCTGTAAAAGCCATTCCAAACAATTTCAAATAGAAAAAATGGATTCTATGGTATTGTGGTACTGACACAAGATGTACCTAGGGTTCCCAGATTGGCACACTCTGCAAAAAAAACAAACATGCACTCTTCTGAGTCAGTTACTTAGACAGATTTAACACCAGACTTAGGAATGACTAAGATGGAATTCATTAGTTCCTCCAACTAAGATGATTTACAAATAACAGTAGTGTCAATCCACATTTACCAGGTAATGTTACTTAATATAAAAGTAAAGCCTTAGGAATCAAGGAAAAAC